TGAACTGGACCATGACCTTTATCAAGAATTAACAAGTTGTCTGGAGTTTATTATAAACAGATGCTGATCAAGCTGTGGATCTGTAATAAAAGCTAGAACAAAGAGAAGGTTGCTTCTATATTTACAACACCCCTGAGTACACCTCTTAAAGTACAGCTGTCCTTGATTTGCTCTTCTTATCAAGCAAAATGAGTTATTAAGAGCAGGAGGTAGGGATTTTTTGATGTTCCCAAACCACTGGAACTCTTCTGTAAATGTAGGAAGAGAGTTTTGATTGCATAGTATTCTCTGAAAGAAAAAGACTTCCTAGTGAATTCTTATTAAAAATCCCCCCAAAACCCAACAATTCACTGCAATCCAGTTAAAATAATTCATTTGTAACTAAAATCCCTTTGTTGCCACAACTGTGATTAATGACTGCTAATCCTCAGAAGGAAACATCTCAGTGTTTGGCATGAAAACAATGCTATTCTAATAGGAAATTCGATTTTTTTTCCCTCCCTTGTTTTCAATATTCTCCTGGGATGAGTTACCTGCAGCCGGCATTTCACAGGCAAAGAAAAAGATGGTAAAGAAACTGGCGGCTGTTCCCAGGCAGGGAAGACAGGTGGCTATAGGTAATTTTTCAACTGTGCTTTTATCATTAATGACATAATTTGGCAGCAAGAATATTTTTCACATTGCACTTCGCCAAGCCATTCCTTACCAGGGCTTTGCAATTTGTTCCAGTCAGCAAGCAAATCCTGGTCTGTATGCGCCCTACTGAGATGCATGCCAGCCAGGTGTTTGGCATGGAAAGCGGTTAAAGAAGGGTTTGCTTCTAAAAGCCTCTCTTTCCCCCAGTAGATACTGAGCTCAGATTATCACAGGTTTACAGGTTTACTCAGAGCCCCTGACCATGGCACCTAGTGCACAAAACCCAAAGATCCTGCTCACCGCAGAAGGCCCCGTTCTAATCTCAGATGCATCGCTGTGCAAGTCTGGAGTAACTCAGCCGGCTAACTTCATTTGGATTTGCACTATGGTATGCTGAGCTCAAGATCTGACCTACTCTGATACATGAGATCTTTGGGTTTTGCAAGAATGAAAACCAATGACATCAGGTTAACTGGGATAAGAATATAGCCCAGCAGATGCATCTTTCTTCATTTAAAAGACTTTTCCTCAGACTATGAGGGTCTAAAGTTCTATCCACCAAGCTGAAAATGTGCCATCATGAAAGTCAGTCAAGACCGTTTTATTTTACGCCGTAAATCCAGCTTCCATGACAATCCTGCCAGAGCAACACAACTCAAAGTGGAACTGGGAACACTGGATGGTCCTGTTGACCCCACAATGACAGCAACAGTCACAAGACAAAGACAGAAAATGCCAAGATGTAGAAAAGACTATGAAAAAAATAAAGGAAAGGGAAATAAAAGTGAATTCCCTAAAATCCCTGCGATAAATCACAGCCTTGCTATTTAAATCTCCCATGCTCCAGTTATTCCCTGAAAGCGTCCAAAAGCCAACTGGAAAAGAACCCAAGGAAAATACAGGACTAGCCTGCATTGCACCTGAGTGACCTCACAACAACTTTATTAGCAGATTAGGAGGGCAGGGAATAGATAGCTATTAGGGGAGCTGAGAAACAACCCTCTTGGACTGGTTGATCTCAGGCACTACTTGAGATTTGTCAGCACCATGGCAGGGCCCACACTTTCAGTCAACATACTTCCACACCACGTCAGATATGTCCTGAATTGCACAGCAATGCATTTATTCTCTCCACATGAGTTGTGATGGACTCTGGATAGAGAGCTAACCTTGCAGGCCATTCTCCCAAATGCAGCCCAGCACATGCAAAAAAAAAAGATAAATCAGGTTTCCTAATAAGTTTTCCTAACAATGGTGTAGGCAGATTGAAAGAGCTGCACATCCCCTGCCTGCTTTTTTGCAGAGCACTGCAATGCACCAGATCATCCGTGATCCAAAATGAAGTTGCCCAGAAGCATATTTTAAGACAGGACAATGGATCAACATACTTGCTGCTAAAGAAGAATTACAGGGCAAGCTCAGTATAATAAGCACCCCCAAGGGACAGGAGAAGAATTCATTAAAAGAGCATGCTTGCTATCATATTAATGAAAAAAAAATTAGTTTGTGCTGTTGGAATTGCTAGAAGTGGACATTTGTCTTAAATGGGGTCTGCTGCAGTAAGCTTGTGCTGTAACCCTGGGTACTGCTGCAACAGCTGGAGGCTTACAAATATCTTTTTAAAAAGTTCCAATTGAGAGCAAAGTGCTGGGAAACTAGTACATTATCCAGTGATAAAATGTTTAACTGCCCAGCTTTCAGTCAAGATCGAACTGCTTCAAAGCAGTGATTTTGTGCGTGCTCTTGTGTGTTTAGCTGAATGCTAAATGCGTGAGCAACACTTCCAAGAAGTGCTGATGTAGGCAGACCAGAGCACTGGCAATGATGTTTTACAACCTTGGTGCACATTTTATAGAGCTTGCTAATATTTAACTCTCAAACTTTCTGTCCCCAAATAGTAACATTTCTCCTTAAAAAGGGCCAGATACTGGGTTACGTTGGCCAACAGCAGGATGAGTGATGCCCGTAGTGGCTTTATCACACAGCTTAAAACCTGAATGAAAGCCTCTGCAACCCTCATATTGCTGCTGCTGGAGGCAGATGGCTCATGAGCTTTTCTGCCACTCTTCTCCCTGGGAGGACCCAGAATGAATCATTTGCAAAGACCAATAAGCTAGAATAAATCATCACTGCTCCCAGGCACATGCTAAATTCATTGTATTCATTATTTGCTATAATGGTGTACAATTCCCAACTATTTAGCCCAGAGTATCTGCATGTGCCTGCCAACCTAACCCCCAAAACTTTGGGTTATGTTCTTCACTGCTTTTGTTGGTTCATTTTTAAATCATGAGAAGAGTTAGCTGTCGTTTGACCCCAGCATCCTTTCCTGCCCATGGCAGGGGGTCGGACATGATGACCTGCTCAGGTCTCTTCCTACCCTATTAACTATGAAACCAGGAAACTATGAAACCTCTTGACTGGGTTCAGTTTGCATCACACCAAGCAGTGTTCTGAATTGGTGTAGTCAGTAAATACACGATCATTTCATAGTCCTCCCTATACAGGAATCCCAGTCAATTTGTATTCTGAAAAAAAATGCTATTTCACCTGCTAATACACAGGGATTGTTTATTTTGGCCAGTTCTCCTGGGTTACATATGCCAGGTTATGATAAAATAATGTTAAATACGCTAACTCTTCTAGGATGCATGGTCCTGGCTCGGCTTAAATGCCATCCTATTGCATGTGGCAGGTCCCTTGCGCGTTCTCCAGCATTAACACCATTTGATTCACATAAGCTGGCTACCTGAAGGGATATATTTACAAATATTTTATTAGTGATCATAATCTAAAAAATGCTACTGCAGGTAGGCCAATTGGCCCAGGCTGGGCCTCTATTGCACTGGAGTTTGATCAGTAACAACAACTATTAAACTCAGGTTTTTGGAAAGCAAAGTGCCTCTACTGTGGCCCAGCAGTTTCAGCACATGCCGTACATTCCTGAACACGAAGTAGGCTTTCTGTTTAAAGAATGGTACAGTTGCAAAGATAAGAGAAAACAGAGCTGGAATATAATATTCCTGGGAAATGTCAGTCCCTCGCGCAAACACGCAAGTGGTAATGTAAAGACACGTTGTTGGTGCTAGAGTCAAATGTTGAGATCTCAAGGAGTTTATCTCAAGCACAACCGCCTTTGACTATAAGGACTGGATGAAAAAAGGCACAAATTCTGCTCAAATTTACTTCAACATACGTCAAAGCAGGGGTTTAAGCAGGGGTAGAATCTGGACCTGAGGAAGGGATTCCTGGATGGGGCCATCTATTTAAATACGTCATGAGTCAGGGATCGGACTCAGCAGTGTTTCACATATTGGTGCACAGGCAACCATGTGCTGGTGATCAAGTGAGATCCATTTGCACAGCACTAGATCCATCTTTTTTCTGATGCAATAGTGGTGGCAGGTTCTGTGTGCTGGGTGGGGGCGAGGGGAGAGAAAGCACTGCTGGTTGTATGCGCCAGCGGACCAGGATTTGGCCGTACGTGCTTTGAGTCTCCTTTTGGGGAGGATTTCCTGAGCCGATCCTTTCCAAACGTCTGCGTAAGAGCAGTTCTCCCAAACTTTTGGGGTTGCCAGTCAGATGCCAGATAGTTTGAGGACACAATCACGAGGCCAAACAACTTGCTTCTGTTGGTTCATGTCCTGCTTAATTTCTGCTAACCCAGCTCTATTGATATCCAAACGCAAGGCCCTCATTCCTATTCCTGGGAGGTCAGTCAGGCCAGGGTAGGACACCCCCCCTCTGTCAAGTATCTTTTCATGAATTCTGCCATTCACTTGCCTTTATGAGACCCTGATTTTTCCCCTTCCTCTGTATACTGAAGAGAGGGGAATGTCTCAACAGAGGACAAGCCCGCCTAGGTTTTGGACACAGCCTTGTCCCCACTCATGACACCGAGGGGGCTGATTTTCCCCCGGGTGGCTGTCTTGGCCGAGCTCTCAAACAGAAAGGTGAACCGACTTGTAAACTGTGTGGATCCTTCACTCCCTTCTCTAGGGTCTGGAGGGAGGTGTGCCACCAGCGTACGGTGCCCTAGCACCCTGGTAAAGGCAGTACGCATGCATGGCACGCTTTCCAACAGGCAGCCTTGGGGGCTGGAGGACACAGAGCAACTCCAATTTCTATCTGCTGCTTGGAAGTGGACACCCTAACCCTCCATTTTAGTTTAGTGACCAAGTTTCTAACACTCTTTGCAACCATTAACACTGCCAGAAAGATTAACGGGGATCAAACTTCTGCTGTTTTCTTTGCACTTCACTTTGACACTGAAAACACACTTTCTGGGTCTCGTGCTTTAAATGGATTTCGGACCCGAAGTCCAAGCAGCCAGGCTGCAAATGCTGCGTGAAGATCACTGTTACCTTAGACCAGTCTCCTGTTTTCCATTCGTAACAGCCCGTGTGATCTTCGCACTCCTCCTCGTCCCTCGGCCTGGTGGCTGCGTCGCATTTTCCTTGCGAATTTGTGCATGTTACTGTTCTCTTCTGGACGCCCTTGCCGCAATCTGCTGAGCACTGAAAAACAATAAGCATTATCTTCAGCTTCTGTGTATTGGGCCTGCTAAGAAACAATCAGCTCTCAACTCAGCTTCAACAACAGAAAAATGAAAATTTTGCTTCAGGAAAAGAATGTAAACATTCAAAGTTTTATTATGTGGAAGTGCTTTTGTGGCACTTTAGGCCCCCCTCCTTGCCAAGTCAGGACATTCTCGAACACTTTGGCAACATCTTTTTGTTTGCACACATGTGGGTTTTGGATCAAACAGAGAAAAGCAAAAATGAGTAACACATATATTTTTTCAATGAATGGGAATAAGAAAATCAATAAAAGGCAGGGCTTTGGAGAAGCTGGAGGTTCTTTAAAAAAATGTTTTTGAAAAATGGCTACTTTGCAACCAAAAAAAGATCATCTGAAAAATTTAAGTCCGGTCCATCCAGGACCTGGTGTTGTATAAGGTGACTTTTAAAACTGTTCCTTTAGCAGTTTTGTTCTTAATACTGAGAAAAGCCCCACAGATCAAGGCATGTACAATAGGGAACTTGTCACCTCCCTTAAAATGTCAGGATAACTTAATAAAACTTTTAAAAATCACAATGACACCAGTCCAAACTCTTGGGAACACGGTGTGGTTAGTGTAGTCTTGTAGTAAAATTGTTCAGAAAACCCTGCGCCACACAGTCCTTGTATCACACACCATACATTGGCCTGATTGACGGTAGTCAATGTGTTCTCACAACTAAGTTAGGAGCAGATGACAAAAGTGTGCGTGCGCTTCTTTTTTTGTTTAATAAAGTGGATTTCAGCGGATGCTACTTCTAAAAAGCGGCTGATCACACAAACCGTATGACCCCAGGGTGGTATTACTTCAGCCTCCTGCATGCCCCGCTCTGCGATTAATTTACAGTGACACCCAGCAAGCTACAGCCACGCACAGATGACCAAACCATCGACAGGGATCAAATGTGGGCACTTCAGCACCAAAAGGCCATAACGCTTCAACTTTACACAAGTTGGGAGCTCTGGGAGAAGGCAGCTGGTAGAGTTTCAGAGAGCAGCCGCAAGAGGGAGACATGATTACGAGCATTAGGATGATGAGAGCCACATGTATGCAAGTGGGCAGCTGTGGTCTATTTTTTTTTTGAACTTTTTGACTTCTATGGAAGCTCTGCCAGGGCTCCTCGGGGCATGGGAATATGTGAGCATCCATTTCCTACCCAAGCCCCTGGACACCTGGAACGGTGGTCGGAAAGTTTTGCCCCTACTTCAGAAGCTCTCTGTGGGATCTGTTGTAGGTAGAAAGGGGGCGGCATTACAATCTCAGGACTAAAAATCACTGCTTTTAATTACAGCTTCTCCAGCACAGAGACAATAGAACAAAGGGACATTGTTATCGCTGTCTGAGTTGTGCCAACGAGCAGCAGCATGTCTGGTCTTCCTACACCCCGTTTTCCTGCCAGTGCAGTGGTTAAAAGGAAAAAAACAACACCCCACTGGGGACAGGTGGGTCGAAAAATGATATACGAACCAACTGAGATAAAGACTAACCTTCTCCAGAGTGTCAAGTTCTCCCTCTTAGGGGATCTGCATGGAAAAGACAGTTGACTTGACACTGAATAAATAGCGGAGATATGAGAGACGCTGTGAGGTCTTTTGAAAATATTCCAACAAACTTCTCCATTCAGGGGGTCTGTGCTGGGAACAAGCATCAGCTTGATATATGTTGCATCGACTGGACAAATCTCAGCATGCCTGTCTAACCATCTTGAAAATACAATCCAGGCAGTTGTGACCTGCTGGCCTTGTTGAGGACATGAATGACAAGTGTTTATGAGCTGGCAAGCAAACAGATGTGCCTTTAAATACTTCGCAGCAACTATCGAGTGGCTTCTTTCAAAAAAGAGAATTCTTCCATTTAATTTACTGTGCACTGCTCCTTTGTGTAACCTCCTTATGGATGCAATGTCTTTACAGTGAATACAATCCTGAGATTCGACCAGTTGCTGGGATGATGTCCTTCATGTAGGGGAGACAGCTCCATGAAGGACATCATGACAAATGATGGACAAATTGAGGTGCTGGACTCCTTTCAGCCCTGAAGCTGGAGCTCTCCAGGTATCACGGATCTGCCCTGCATTACACAGGGTTTCTTCAACTGTGGCTTAGTATTTCCCAGAGCCATGCAGAATGACATGAGGTAGCAGAATGACCTCTTCAGGGTTGCATCCTCTCATCATGAAGTCCAAAACATATTTTTTAGCTTCTCACATGAACCAATTTACCAAAGCTGAAGTAGCACTGTTTACATTGTAAGAACTGTACAGCAAGGGAAGTTTCGGTTGGATATTAGGACAAAATATCTCACTAAGAGGGTGGCGAAGCATTGGCATGGGTTACCTAGAGAGGTGGTGGACTTGCCATCTTTGGAGGTGTTTAAGACCCAAATAGATACAGCCTTGGCTGAGATGATGTACTTGGGGCTGGTCCTGCTTGAAGCAGGGGGTTGGACTGGATGTGACCTCCTGAAGTCCCTTCCCACCTGAATTTTCTATGATTCTAACTTTCTTGGTGGAATTTCCTGCTCTCTGGAAAAAGCCCACCAAGTATTTCCTTTTCCAGTGTTTGTGTCCTTCATACATCCACACAACATTCACTATCTATGGATGCCATTATATTTTGTTAAAAAAAAGGAGTCAGGCTCATGATCGGAATACACGCCATGGTGATACATCAACTATCTCCCTTCTAACTTCATACTGCTACACACAACTTCTGACCTTTAATAAGAAAACTTTTTTACATAGTTTTCCCAAAGGTTCTAGGTATACAGAGCCTTCTGGCCCAGAAATACTTGCAATTGTTGTTTATTTCATCTTAAATTCATTAACAAATCTACCTGGACAAAAATGGAAATTATTGTATAGAGAAGAGGGACAAAATCTGAACTTGATACAGCCCTGTTGGCAAACGTTTAGTACAGGCCTCTTCAAATGAGGAAATGAGAACATTTTTCATCTGATTCTACCCTACCTCCCGAATGGTAGAAAAGTTCACCTTTTGTAACTACTCTCTATTTTTGGTCATTAAAAATGGATTGAGCAGCACTTTATCCAAAATAATTCCAAGTGTTTGGCACCAAAAAGGGAACTTAATTTTTTTTCCACACTAAAGATTGTCTTGGATTTAGCTTTGAGAACGTGTTTTTTGATCGGAGACCAGACTTCAATTTGCTCGTTATTCAACTATTTTTGTTTTGTAGCCAAAAATCCCAAATAATTCATGAGAAAACTGGTTCATAACATGATATCACCATTGCAATATTGTGTTTTTCCACCACCTCAGTTTAAAATTTTAAAGATTTAATTGATTTTCAGCCAAAATGCTATATATGTGCTTAAACTTCCCAACATGACTCTGGCCTTTATAGGTTAACTGATGGTAGCCTAAAATGGGCCACCTGACAGCAAAAACATGTCTAAAAAGGATTAACCTCAGAAAACAACTGGCTAGCAATTATAAATCACTAAACTGTAGAGGAATTTAATAAAGGAAAAATAAATCTCTTACTTCCACACAGTTTAGGATACATATTTGTGATGAAACTGTTCAGCTGACTTGTGCTCTGATGGATCCCTTATGCAGTTTGAATTACACTCACCTACCAAAAGTAAGATGCAGACACTTTTCTAATTGAGAAAGGGATCTGTGACAAGAGGCCACATCTACTTAGAAAACAGGAGGAAATTTTAGGAGGAAACAATGCCGACAGCACCATGAAAAAGCAGCATTGCTCCCACTCAGCAGGCCCGCTACCCAGGAATGGTTTATTTCTGCAATGTATAAAAGGTCCTTGAGCCTGGACAGATGATACAACAGTAGTATTAAAAAAAACTGCAGACAATAAAAATGCAAACTTGGCTTCTACTCTCACCTGGTAGAGAAGAATCAGGGGTGAAACTCTACCAGTGAGAGCAACACCAGTTTGGCCGTTTGTCTTCATCCATCCGTAGGTAACTTTGCTATGAACCCACACAGGCTAATACCTGCTCCCCTGCCATCTGGCGGCAAGGGACTGTAATCACTGCCTACTGTGTGAGCAGGACGTCTGGTCCTCATCCTGGTATAATATACAACTGTGTATACTGTAAAACCAATGTGAGTTACGCTGGGTTTTACGTTCATTTGCCCATGCCCTCAGTGTCTTTCTCTACATGGGAATGGGAAAAAGAGATGAAAGGGGTTAGAAGAAAAAGAGTCTCTCTGAAACATTAGCGAGTATAAACAATGTTCCCCTGAATAATCATGTACAGGCTTGGGACTTCAAACCCTCACCTGTCAAACAGGAGACTTCCTGCCCTGCAGGTGATTACAGTTGAATAACAATGCCCCTCTGTTAAACGCCCCCCCAACCTTTTCTCCTGCAAAACAGCTGGGATCCTACAGTTCTGTAACTGTGAGCCCAGTTGTTAGGCCACTATATTGCAAAGTTATTGACTATTACACAGATGGAGGCGGGGAAGAGTAAACGATGGAAAAGTGGGAGAGGAAAGAAGCACCCTTTCTTCATAGATTTGAGGTACATCCTGGAACACAGATGTTCTGGAGATACATCAGTGCAACACGAGTGCAACACTGAAGACGATTGCGTCTTTTTTATTGCTAAGTTTGGCGGGTTGCGCATCCAAACTAATGTTGAACTCCTACAAGTGGCTCTGCAACATTTTCAGACTTGGTTGAGAATCTGAGGGTGGAAACTTGTTGGAGAAACCAATTACCATGAGGTTTAAAGGATAAGAACAAACTCAGTTAAAACACAGGCTGGCATCTTGTATATATTTCTATACCTGCGGAGGCGTAGGTTGTAGCTGTGTTGGTCTAAGGGCACAGGCAGGCAAGGTTCTTTGGGTGAATCTGGTATCTTTTATTAGATCACCATAATAGGTGGAAAACATTCTTTTCCACCTATTTAAGTTGGTCTACTAAAAGATATCAGACTCAACCAACGAACCTTGTCTTTCCATACCTGCAGCAGGTACTGGTCCAGTGGATCCTGTTTCTAGTTCCTGGTCCCCTAGGTAGAATTTGCAAGTGATTTCAATCCAGCTCGATTTTAACAAAGAGGATGCAGTCAGCATTTTACTTAGCATAAGTCAATGCAACAGTCATCAATATTTAACAGCCATATGCTGCTGTTTGCTGTTTATAGCGGGGTTGGAGCACTGTTGCAGCCCTGATGGTCCAGGGAACATATGACAGAGAAAGGGTTTTTTTGTGATATCCTTTAATGGATGAACTGTATAGTTGGGAGAGTTGTTGGACAAGGTTTGAGGCATACAGCGCCCTTCTGCTCTGTGTCAGGCAAATGCTGTGTGTATAGACATACCCCAGGTCTTGTATCTCAAGACACACATACGGAGGATGACATGCTCAAAAAATTGGTGCTCAGGACACTGCAGGTGCACATGTAGAAGGTGGGTTGGGGCCTAAATCATATCCTGGTCCAATTAGCACATGAGACCCTACCGAGCTCATCTGCCCACAGGGGGAAGCCATAATAGCCAGGGAGATCACTATACACTTTTCAAACTTCTCTGATATCCCCCACTCCAAAAATATTCTCACCATAAGCTCATCTCTTAGCTTCTCTGGATTATTTTAATTACGCAGATATTGTTTCCCTTTGTTCCACTGCTGATATTGAAAATCTTGTTATTCTGCTACAAGATGTCTGACATTTTTATTATACATATAATTTCTTTCATGTGTCTATTCCTTTTGGGAATAACATGGGAACGCTGTGAAACACATGGTCTGACATAATTCCTATAAATTCATGTATAAAACAGCAGCTCAGTATTTGCAGGACAAAAGAAATGTTTCCTTATGTCCAAGATAGATATTTTTTGTTTGCACTTTATTTTTAGGATACATTAATAAATACCTTGAGCTAAGATTCAGAAATGTTTTAACAGGCAGCCAAGAAATTATTGCAAGGTGCTATACAATCAACAAGGTCAGGAGCTTGCTTCTTACCGTCTCTGACGCATGCTACCGATGCCTATAGCAGACATAAAACTGCTATTAATAATGATTTCTTGACCCCTTCATGCTATGTATAAATGTACCCGTCATATAAACTGCAACCACGTCTGCTAGATTTATGGATCCTACAAGCTAGGGCAAGGAAAAATCCAAAGGTTGGGTGAGCTAGAGCACTGGCAGCGCACTTATCCAATGCTAATTTCATATTCCAGATGATCAGATCCAAAAGACCTGACACATTAGGTGAACTCCCGGTCGTGGTGCAGCAAAATGCTTCTCCTTCATAATTTTGGTTGAAGACTATAAAGACATGTATAATATTGCCTGGCAATAGCAATGAACCTCAGCAGAGAACTCACTGGTGCAGGACACACCCCTCAGTTCTGTACAGATGATCTAAAGTAATCATTGTACCAATTGCCCATTTAGCACTGACCCTACCCAACACTTAAGCACGTGCTTAACTTGCAGCACTGCTGGATCAGGCCCAAAGCACTGGGCACCTGGATTTCTGCATGCAGCCTGGTTCCCTCTTGAAATCCAATTCCTACCTTGGACCACTCCGATGCCTCCCAGATAGAAAGGCAGTCGCGGCCCTCGCAGCTCTGAATCGTTGCTGGTTTGTGGCCAAGGCAGTAGAGGTCTCTGGTGTTGACGTAGGTGCCGTTCTGCAACTGGTACACACAAGTCACTTCCCGGCGCTGGATGCCTTTCTCACAGGTGGCCGAGCAGGGGCTCCAGTGGCCAGTCACCCATCTGATAAAAAGACAGAGAAGAAACATAAGGAAGATGCAGCCCGGCTCTGTGCTTGGGACCCCTGAGAAACAGGCCACCCATCCAAGGCCCAGACCGCACAGAACCGTTGAATTACAATCATGCACCTTTTTCAACTAAAGTCTGCGGGACGCTGGAAAGGGCCCAGGGGGTGGCCATCTGGCGAGTGTACTAGTGAGTCTCATCTGCTCAGCATCCCAGCCGCTGCTCCGTTTGGCTCATAGGAGACTTGTTTGCAAAACTCCTTTTCCACTGTTCAAGGGAAGGCAACCCTGAATGCTTGCAAGTAATGCCTCCCTAGAGCAGCACCTAACTGAACCACTGGTGTAACCCTGTTGCTTCTAGCTCCCGTTCAGAGTGGCTGTAAATACCCCCCTTCCCAGGGCTCGGTGTCTGGCTGCCTGTTTGATTAGGACACTCTGTCTGTTTTGAAGTTCAGAAGCCCTAAAATGTTGGCTAAAGGACCACGTCCCTCCTATTAGCACATAAGAGCTTAACAGCTACAGCTCAACCAGTCTTTAACAAGACAAGATTACACTTCCCAAAGGGCTCCCATTGTGTTGATTCAAAGCAGATGTGGTTCAACCATTCAAATCTGGATGACTTTTCTCCCCTTAAAACATCCCCCATTATTTTAAGGTTTCTTCTCCTTTTAGCTTGTTTCGAAAGCCTTGTTTCCCCTTAACAACACGCTGGGCTGAGAGTAAATGAAGGTTTTTTTGAAGGTCTGTTGGGCAACCCTGGCATGTGCTGGGACTCCTGCAAAATATGGAGGGTGCTGATGCTAAGAGTATTTAAACAGTTTAAGTAGGCCTGTTAACCAACTCATAGAGCCTGGCTTGACATCCATTAAGGTCAACGGGAAATAAATCTAGCCCCTCATGTGGAAAGTTGAGCATGCACACTAGTCTCTGCCAGACCAGAGCCAAGATCAGCTCCAAGATGAGGCTTTTTTCCTCCTGCAGCTGTGGATATTCTAGTTGGAGGCAGATCTACCCCCAAACTAAGCACAATTATGGGTAGAGCTGCTCTGGGGAACAATGTGATAACAAATCTGGGAAGAATCAAGGTGGGGAGGTCTTTTATAAATACATAAAAAGCATCCACCTTAGTACTTCCTGCAATCTGGCAGGGAAGAAGATGTTCCCTCTAATTACAGGCATTCCTGGACTGAATGAAGGCCTGGAACAACAAGGAGCAAAGGCGGGTTTCTCTGAGAGCTGGTTTGCTAAGCTATTATTGAAAACTGGGAGGGAGTCTCTTCCTTGTCACCTGATTTCTAGGTTACTAAAGACCACTCATGGATCAGAGAAGTAAGAAGATTCCTCAAAGATGTGCAGAGAGCTCTAACCGGCGGGAGCGGGATGCATATCGAGACTTTGGAGCAAGATTTTTCTTTTTTTAACATTGCTTAAAAGTTCACTTTTCCAGTGAACAGTGAAAGCAGAAAGATCAAATGCTGCCGATCTTCAAGGGAAAAACCAAGAGCATGCAATTATCCCATGTCCTCGTTGTTAATCCATTTGTCAGCTGTTGTCAGGGACGAGCACGGTGCTGGTGAGCTGAAGGTCACTCTTGCAGTTAAGGCAGAAACCAATTGGTTTGAGAAGGGCACAGGATGGGTTGAGATACCACAGATTGGCCACCCGCTGTCTGCCATGCAACAGGGGCCTCAATCAGGTGTTTCTGTGTGTTAAAGCAATGAATAATGAATTGGTGGTAAAAACGCCCTTTGAGACATCAAAAGGATTTTGCTGGATGATCATTGTGGAGCCTCTCCTCATCTTGATATTCTTCTAATGGACTGGGAAAATGCCAGCTAAGTCATCTGACCTGGAGACAAGAAGATGGACAAGACTAGCCTGGCTTGTGGAGGCAATTAACCCGACTCCCACCGATTTGACCGAGAGCCAGGGGCTGTCACTGCGCAAGAAGTGGAAGGGCCTAACTGGGCAAAAAGGGCCGGTCACCAAAGGAGAAGATGAGGAGGAAGGAGGCCACAGGGTCAGGAAAGCAGCTGTTCAGACTCCGTTGAACTAATGTCCACATCTGACTGCAATCTACAGCAACTGGCAAAGGAAGAAGAGGAAGGGACTGAAAGGAGAGGAGAAAATCAGAGATAAAAATGCTTTCTTGGCAGAAGCTGTCCTGACCATTTTCCTCTGGGATGGGTGGCTCACGGTCTGCCAGTTATTTCTGAGGTGCTGTCAATGGTGAGGTCATGGCCTGACTTCAGCAAAGGGGAACATTAGTTTTGGTGTTTTCTGTTGCTTTGAATGAGAGCAACGCACCTCTTTTTTCCCCCTGTCCAGCAGGTGGGATATAACTGAGTGACAGGGAAACTGCCACGTAAGAGTGAACATCGCTGGCATAGGAAGAATCAGCACAAGGTGCCTGATCCAATCCCCAAGCAATGTTGGGGCAAAGGTTGTGGATCAGGTCCTATTATGCATTTCAAATGCGGCCCCTAAAAGTGATCTCTGATACCTGGGTCCGAGTTGTAGTGATGAGCACAGATGTGATTTCTGATCTGTTTTGGGACCCGAGGGCTTATCAGATGGTTACAAAGAAGGCAGGAGCATTATTTTCACGTTGGCCAAATAGGAAAGATAAAAGCAAGTAACAATGGGCAGGTCTATAGCACCGCAGTATCTTGACCGGCCTTTCCCAAGCATGCGTGCCCTGCCCACCTGCTCCTGCATGTATGCTCCAAAACTGAGGCACATTCGGTGACATCCCTCCCTACTGCTCTCAAGGTGCAGTTTGGAGCCTGCTTGAAAACAGCCGCTGGAGATGCTCCCAGAGCATCTTCGCTACCGTTTGAGAGTCCATACAAGAGCAAGTGGACAGGACACGTGCGGGACCATCCCGCCCAGGACATCCGGTCCCCATAGTCTCGACAGACCCAATGTAGGCACAGCCAGGAAACAGGCTTTCCCTCGATGAGGGAAATCCATTAAAAATCAACTTATCTAAAAAAAAAAAAGCCCCTCGTGGAAGGGCAGGGCCTCCGAGAGTCTCTCTGCCCCATTTCCCAGGCAGCACGATGCCCGTGCTTCGGGATAATAGGCGAGTTTCTGAATGCCCCGTCTAGAGAAGTCATCTGCTGGCTTGCATTGCTGCTCTCCGGGAAACGGGTCGATGTGACAGCATCTGTCAGACTGTGCAAAGAAAGTTTGGCACAGGAAGTGAAGCTGTCACATTTGAGGGGGTTTTCTTCCTCCCCAATTTCAAAAGAAAATGAAAAGTCCTATTTCCCCTGTCACTGCTGTTGTTTTTGTGGTTGGGCTTTAACTGTCAGCTTGGCTACAAACCACGGACGTCTTGGAAAGCAAAACCAGGAGTTTTTGCCCGGGTTTTACAGTGGACTAGGATACTACCTTCAACACTAGCTGTCAGCTAGCCCCACCTGGGCCATCAAGTGGGCCGCACGGTGCTGAGACAGCAGCCACCTCTGCTGGCACAAAAGGAGGGATTCTCTCTCTGCAACGTCCCCCCGGCATATGAAGTACGGCTGGGTTCAAATGGACGCGGCATGAATATCTTCAGACTCCAGCCAGCCTTGCCTGCTGGAACGGTGCTTTGGCACTGCGGATAGTCAAGCATAAGTTGGAGTGACACGAAGGCTGCTCGAGCTTAAGGACCGGAGCTACTCCTTCATAGATGGAGACAGCTGTCCTAATGCCACCATCGCTCTCCACCACATACCCAGCTCCTCTACTTGTTTGGCACAGAGCACCTCGGCCAGGGAATGAGGTCCATGACAGCTGACGCTACCCAAGACAGCCAGAGTCCTTATTGCTCTTCCAGCAGTCTGGTGCTTCCCTTATTCCCAAACACTAAGGCATGTATTTGGCCAACATCCCATTGCAAACCAGCCTCTTCATATAGTCCTACAAGATCCAGGAGCACTAGGGAACACCTAGCATTCAAGGTACTTATAGTCTCCAAAAGTGAAGGTTTGCTTTTACTGAGAATATGAGTCCAAATGCACTAACACTAATGCCCTCCCATCTGGACACCCGGGACGAACTCTTACAATGGCTCTACTGACCAATAGTGTTCAACTTACTCTTTCACTACAGACTATTTCTAGGGCTGATTCAGCAACTTATTTAGCATATTTTAAAGGGGGACATCATGATAATAGCTTGCGTGTGGGGCAAAACATTTGCCTGGCTTGGACTACATGATCCTTGAGATCCCTCGCACCCTTGTGCCTAACTGAAATGACCTGCCCAATGTCTGACTTGTAAATCACATCTCTCAGTCCTCTGTCTTGGGCCAGAACTTGGAAGCGGTTGCGTTGGACTTCACCGCTTCTGTACATTATAAAGTTTCACAGTCGTAAAGAGGGTGCAACTAGTGTGCTTCTGCAGCAGTTGCAGGACCATGCTTCTCAAGAGCGCTCTGCTCATCTGCTCCTGCTCTGCATGTGCTAACCCAGGAAATAAGGCGTGAAGCTGCCCCAAGAGCTCCTCTCACCATTCTCCATCTCCCAAGTTCTTGAGATTGGTGGTGAGCAGGCAGGACCCACTTCACATCCCCTTTGACCTGTGCACAGAAAGCAGAGCTGAGCAAGGTGTGCTTAATAGCAGTGCTTTGACACTGCTGCGGAAGTGGGACAGATGTGTCCAGTGTGGCCCAGTTTCTGTTGAAAGCCAGAGGAAAGAGATGCTTCATTTCCTTTGTGACTAACAACCTCCCCCTAATACAACCCTTAGCATTTCCGCAGCACCTCTCATCTGTTGGCTCCCAGAGTGGGCTAGGATCATTCCCTCCTTTTCACACATGAGGAAACCGAAGCATGATGCAGTGTCTTGGCTGCTTATTAAGGGCCTTGTCCACTCAAACCCTATGGACAAGGCCAATTTTTTCCCCTAAAGGAGCCAACGTGCCAAGCATCCTTCCTCAAGCTCGGGTTCTGCAGTGGCTGTTTGAAATGTAAGACATCCCACAGTACATGTATAAAATCTGGGAAG